TAAATTAAGTTTGTTTGAATAAATATTCACACCATTCAAAAGTCAAAATAATGTTATAAAAGGTGTACAAGATAAATCTCTCTGCCAACCCCGCTGCTGTCCTTCCCATCTGTCCCTCCACCCCTCACCTGCTCACAGGGAATCACTTTACCAGTTTCTTATATTTCTCCCTGCAAATACAAATGCAATTGTGTATCCTAAAATTTCCTCCCTTCCTTACACAAAAGGTGGCATAGTCCCAGAGAGTTGCCGTATCATTCCATAGAGTCTTCTCTCTCTCTCTCTCCCTCTCTCCTTCCCTCCCTCCCCCCCTCTCTAAAAAAATCCTCAGATGATTAACCAAAAAAAACCCTTACAAAAAATAAACACGGTAACTTTAAGATGCGGTGTGATTCTTCTATGAGCACCTGGAGAAATGGCTTTTTGATACCGAGCACATGAAGCTGTTCCCAGCCCCANACCCAGGTTGCTTCCATTTTTGGCCATTACAAACAACGCCTCAGTGGATCACTTTGTACGTAGGACATTTGCAAGCACGAAGGTTTAGCTGGAGACTAGATTCCCAGAAGCAGGACTACTGGGTGAAAGATGAAATGCACTGGGGATATTACTAGAGGTTGCCAAACCCCTTCCGTAGGTGGTGTACCATCGTGTGTCCCACCAGCAGTATACAAATGCCTATTTCCTTACGCCTCGCCTCCTCCAGGGTCTAGCCTCACCTCTCACCCCGCTCTTCCTCCTTATCTACCTGCAGGCCACAGGAAGCACTTCATTGCCTTGAAAGGGTCCTGCTCCCCTGCCACAGCGCCTTTGCACATGCTGTTCCCTCTGACAGGGCTGCTTGTCCCCCTGCTGTTCCCTGGTTGGCTCCCAGTCATTCTCTTTTCACTTCCTCCTTCCCTTCTCCTAACTCCCTGTACTCCTTCATTTTTCTCGTCTCCCATTGTGATGCTCTTGCTCAATATCTGTCTTCCTCATCTGACCATGTCAGTCCTGTTACCTCCCTGTTAGCAGTGCCCACCTCGCACTTGGCACATTAGTCTCATTTGTTGAGTGCTTGCTTACTATGTGCCAGGCACTGTGCTATGCATCCTGCATACCCAGTCTCCCCTATTCCTACCAACTTTAGCAAGTAGATACCAACACAATTCCCATTTCCCAGATGAGGAAACTGAGGGTGAGACAGGTGAAGTGACTTGCTTAAAGCCACCCAGCCAGGAAGTAGCAGGGTCACAATTCAAAGCCAGGTTTACCCCCCTCCAGAGCACACCTGGCTAGCTTGGCTCAACCAGGGGGTTTAAGGTTAGACTTGAAAAGATTAGCTGCTCAGGAGTGTGACTTGGGGCTGGGTTGGTCTGAGCTGTGCAGGTGGGCTGGCTTCTGCTGACCAACAGGTGAATATGGGGGCAGGCAGGTGCCCCTACGGGGTGCCTGAGGTGGTTGGTGTTGGGTGTGGTAAGGAAAGTTGTGACACTGCGCCTTCAACCCCTGCCCTGCAGAAAGCTGATGGGACTTGCAACACCAACTTCAAGAAGACACAGGAGCTGGAGCAGGTGACAAAGACGTTGGAGGACTTTGTGGATGGGAACCATGGAATCCTGGTGAGTGGGACACCCATGCTCCAAATTTAGCAGTTCAGGACCACCACTGTCATTGTTGCCCCATCACTGGTCTGCTCAGGGCCAAGGTTGGCTGGTGTTGCTCACCACCTGTGGTCAGTGGGGGGCTTGGCCAGGGCTGGCTGGTCTAGAATGGCCCTGCTCATATGTCTGGTGGTCTTGTATGATGGCTTGGCCACTTGACTCTCATGATCCAGCAGGCCAGCGTGGGCTTGTTTTCACGGTGGAAGCAGGTGGCCAAGGGAACAAACAAAACTGCAAGGCCTCTTGATGGCTAAGCCACCCTCATTTCTGCCATGTTCTATTAGCCAGAGCAAGTCATGACCAAGCTTAGATTAAAGGGAAACAGACTCCACCTCTTGATGGAAGGAGCTGCTAGGAATTATGGGTATTCATGTAATCTACTAATCTTACCCTTGTCTGTGCCTCCCATTTTCCCCATGGCTCCCCTTATTCCATCCTCGCCGGGTATGGGATGAGGTCAGATCTCAAGGTGGGTGTGGGTAAGGACCCACAAAGTCCCAATGCTAACCAAAAAACTCCCTCTCAAACAGAGAAAGTATGTGGCACGACTACAAGAACTCCGCGAAGCTCTGGAGAACTCTCCCTTCTTCAAGACCCATGAGGTGCGAGCCCTGGCCGCCACAGCAACAGGGGGTTCTGTGTGTGTCTATGAGGTGGGGGTGGGTTGGGGTCCAGAGTGGAGCTGTGTCTGGGTTCCCTGGGGGCAGTGCGGTTTGAAATCCAGTTAGGAAAGGGAGGAGTGTGCAATTGTGGAGTTAGATGAAGGCAAGGAAACTGCTATTTCTAATTAGAAAAATAAAACCAGCATCTCAGGGCCACATGCCTACCCCACGGGCACTCAATAAGTGTGTGGATCATAGAATGCTGCCAGCGATCCCAGGAGGTAGGGCTGTGATCCCTCCCTCATTCTACAGATGGGAAAACTGAGGCCTGGAGAAAGGAAGCCACTTCCCTGGGGTTACCAGCAGCATTCGGCAAGGAGAAGGCATAGTCCACTTCCTTAGTCCCCACTGGACTCTCCTGACCCATTGAGGATATTGCAGGCATTTGAGTTTGTACCTCAGCGTGAAAAATGGCACCAGTTAATATCTGTTGTGCATTTGCTATACTGGCAACTGTTCTAGGTGCTTTGTATTCATACATGTAATATGCACAGCAACTTCGGAGGTAAATGGCAGTATTATTCCCTTATCCCCACTTTGTATATCAGGAGGCACAGGCAGATATCTTGTCACCTGTCCAAGGCAGAACAGCCTGTAAGTAGCAGAGGGAGGATTTGAACCCAGGCAGCCTGGCTCCAGAGTTCATGCTGTCAACCACCCTGCTCAGATGCGCCTTGGGAGGGGACCTTGGCCAAAGCTTGCTCTGCCCCTAACCTCCCACCTGCCTCCCTGTAGGTGGTGGGCAGCTCCCTTCTCTTTGTGCACGACCACACTGGCCTGGCCAAGGTTTGGATGATCGACTTTGGCAAGACTGTGGCTCTACCTGACCACCAGACACTCAGCCACCGGCTACCCTGGGCTGAGGGTAATCGTGAGGATGGCTACCTCTGGGGCCTGGACAACATGATTCATCTTCTTCAGGGGCTGGCCCAGAGCTGACCCGCTTGCCTGCTGCCAGGATTATTTATTGGATGGTACTCAGCTGACTGGAGGAGACCCAAGGGTGTGGGGGCCTGAGGTCGGCTGTGGAGACACTGACCTCTGGGACAGGAGACTGTGGTACCCCACCCAAGCCCGTTGTGGAAGATCTGAAGGGCTTTGGAGACCAGGTAGTGCCCGGCCCTTTCATGATCCAGGCGTTGTAAGGACTGGAGAGTGGATATGACATGGCTGGGTCCCACTGTGGGTCAGAACAAGACTGGGTCCTCTGACCAGCCAGGAAGGTTCCTGAGGGGCTGCTGGAGCCACAGCTAAACCATATACCCTGAAAGAACACCATTCAGATGCTGTAGGCTACAGGCCTGACATGCCTGTCACCATAGGAGTAACTGTAATCACTGCTCTTTGTCAGCCCCCCGTCTACAAGTGGGCACTGAGGCCAGGGACCAGTCAGCTTCATCTGTGCCCGGAGGACCAGACCTCATTTGTGAACAAATGCAGGAGCCTCCTGTCTGCCTGGGAGCTTTATGGCCCCATTTCTTCATCTGGAGGCCCACCAAGTGCTGACAGAGGCTCTGAGGAGGGTGTGACACCATGGGACTGGCCTGCAAGCTGATGCTGCTGAGCAGAGTCCAGTTCACCCTGTCCTGCCTTCCCCTGTCCCCTTGGGATCCTCCCTGCTCCTGGGAGAACTCTGCTGACCCCCTACAGACCAAAACCGCAGCCACATCCTGTGCCAGCACTGTGACCAGCACAACCTCATTCCTTTGGCACCACCTCAGCCTCGGGGACTTCCTTCCTCCCCTTACCATGTTAGGTCCCCTTCCTCCTAGCTGACTGAGGTGGCAGGGGCAGGGAAGCCTGCTTGGGAATCAGCTGCCTTCCTTTGGTGGCCCCATCCCACCCCAGGCCCCTGCCAGAAGTGCCCGGCTTGAGTCAGAGGTTCAGGGTGGGTGGGGCTGCTGGCGGTGACCCCAGGCTCACAACCTGGCCCAAACCAAAGACCCCAGCACCGTGAGCTGAGTGGTGCCCCTCTTCCCTCTCCTCCTGTACTTGTAACTGGCTACCTGGTCCACAGGGCTGGGCTGGGGAGGACAGGCACCTCCCTCTTTGAGTCAAAACTCTAATGTAGTCTTCCAGGGCTCGGGAGCACGTTCCTTTTCTACTGACCTTTATACTTATTTATATGAGACAGGTAGTTGTTAGATGGGGGCAGTGCTGGGAAACTGGAGGCAACATCGCCTCACTGCCTTCCCCCCATGAGGACCCCCCCAATAAACAGGACATTCAAAGCCAACTTTGTGGATTTTATTTTTTTTTGGCATCTGGGGTGTGTGGGCTCAAAGCTCATAATCTTGAGCATTCATTTGGGGTGGGGTAACAGGACAGTGCCTGGTTTGGGGGGTTTGGTAGAGATGCAGGCTCGAAGTGTTCACCAAGCTGCTCCTCTTGTGCTGGCTCTGCTAGGTAAGGCAGGGTAACTGTAGTGACCAAGAGAGTGCCGAGCCCTCCAAAGACAGTACACTACAGTGCCAGCCACTGTTGTCAGGGCTGGGAAGGGGAGGTGCAGGTGGAAGCGCCAGGACCCAGATGGAGGTGTCCCCACTTCTGGTTAGAAACACTTAATAAGCGAAAAGCACTATATACTGTGTAGTCTCTCTAGAGTCCCTTTGCACTGAAGACACAGAGGTGGCCAAGACAGACCTGTTCCTCCCCTTTCAGAGGGAGGCAACAGGTATTCATTAAACTAATCTCTCTAAAAATAGGTGTCTACTGACCTAGGTATTTATACTGTGCAGGGACTGCCTGATTTGAATCCTCACCCAGCCACTCCCCAAGCCATGTGACCTTAAGCCAGTGATTGCATTCCTCCAAGCCTGTCTCCATCTGTGAAATGGGCAGGACTAGCACCTTAGAGGGCTGGAGGAGTTAATGAGTTAACACAGGTGAAGAGGTTGGCACATTTAACTGCTCTCAGGAACATTTCCTTTTTGTTTTTAAAGGAGAACAGATGCGGGGGAGGGGCCTCGCCCTGGCTGAGGGAACCATGCACGAGGAAGTGATGAGCCAAGCTGGTGTAGGGGTTCAGAATAAGTCACCCCAAGATGTGCCTCTGTGGTATGCAGGCTGTTGTGAGCCGGGGCAACCAAGACTGCAGGCTCAGTGCAACCTCCACCCAACCCGCCCTTAACTACCTAGAATTTGAGTTAGGGGTCTTGCCCATAGACTGAGATAACCTCTGACCTATCTATAGGGCAGGGTAAACTTCTAATTGCTGAACATCTGCTCTTTCTATCCTGCAATGACCTTCCTCCCGCTGAAGCCCCAAGAATGGCACATATACTTCATCTTCCCTGTCTTGGAACCTCTCATGTATGTGGGTTCCCATGTGTATGTATGTATTAAATTTCGCTACTTTCTTGTTATCCTGTCTCATGTAGACTTAGACCAGATGAAAGAACCTTGGGGGGAAAGTATCTTCCTCTCCCACACTGGAAAGCTGAGGAGTTCTGGTCAGCAGAAGGCTGCAGTGGGGTGCACTGGGGACCTAAAAGGTCACTGTGGCTGGTGGCAGGAAATGTGAGGAAGAACAGCCTGGGATAAGGTGAGCTGAGACTTGGAGTTTAGTCTTCCAAACTTCTGGCTCTAACCCCAGCCTGCACAGTAGGTGCTTAATACTGAGGGGATGGGTTTGGGGAGCTGGGAGGATGCCCAGGCTTAAGAGTAGGCTGGGGGGACCCTGCATGATCTCTGGCTGGAGGTCCTCAAGAGATCCACCTCAAACCCTCAGGTGGTCACACAAAGGGAAAAGCTGGGGTCCGGGCCCCATTACCCCCAGTTCAGGGCTGCAGCAGGCTAGTGGCTGGAATCCTATGGTCTGAGGAGCAGGGCCTGGCCACAAAGGCCAGCCCGTACCCCACCAGCAGGCACCACATATGCTCGGCCATCAGTGGCCCGAGAGGGTGAGAAGTCCGTCAGCTGCAGGTTGCTATCCCGGACTTGGTCATAGTCCCACAGCTGGTAGTGCCAACTCTTGCCCTGCTTGGAGAGAAGATAGACTGCTCCCAGCAAGTCTTCCTCTGGCAGGGATGGTGGCTGGCAGGGCATGCTGGGCACTGGGTGAAACAGGCCCGGCAGCTCGGGGTCCTCAACATAGCCGGAGCTTGGCACACCCTGCACACCCAGCAGGACCCCTGCAAGAAGGGGAGGCTGTGAGTGGGGGCTGAGCCCTGATGAGGTGCTGGGGCTCACTGAGCTTCCCCCCCAGTCCTCCAGGGAAGGTGCTACCTAGTTCCCTACGTTACAGAAAAGTCGGTGGGGACCATTGGCACACAGCTGGGCTGGGATCTGGAGCCAGTATGTCTGGCTCCAGAGCTGCACGCATTTTAAGTCCTGCCTCCTACAGCCTGTCAGCACTAGGAGGTGGAGAGAAGACATTAAACAGAGCAAACATCATCACCCAGTCCTCTCCAGCTGTCCAGGAGGGAGACATTGGGAGTGGAGCCCTCAGGCCAGAGCCAGAGGGGGCTGAGCAGAGCTCTGATCCAGGCCACCCGATGGGCACAAATCTATCCTTCTTCCAGGCAGGTGGAATGACAATGCTGGCCACAACTAATACCCACTGAGATGCGTGCGATGTGCCAGGCACCACTGTTCTAAGAGTTTTCCATGCTCTGCCGAGGAGGCAGCCCTATGAGGTGGGTACTACTGTCACTTCAATTTCCAGATAGGTACATGGAAGCCCAGAGTCAGAGCCTGGAAGTGACAAGACTGGGCCTGGAGTCCAGAATGTTTTGATTCAAAAGTCTGCACACTGAGCTTGTTTTGAGAAACCCCAACTGGCAGAAACTGAGGCACCCGCTGCCTGCTAGGTCCCTGTCTCAAAGAGTACTAGGGAGGTGCCAGTGCAAGGATGAGGGTATGAGGAGGGGTGATGGGGGAGCTGGGGAGATCCAGGGTGAGGGCACAGGAACACAGGCTGGGGACCCACCTGTGCTCACTGCCCAGTGGGCCTTGTGGCCCTTTCTCCGACATGGCTCGTGATTGAAGTCTTCATCGTAGCTGGTGCTCGAGTTAAGACCAAAGCTGTGGTATGGCCCAAGGCCCACCCTTCCCCATGCCACCCGTTCCCTTCCTGCCCTGGGATACGGGATGAGCAAGGGACGTCCAGCGACAAGGTGCTGCAGCACACGGTCTCTGTTGGGACCACCTAGGCCGCCATGGAGCAGCTCAGCTTGGCAGCCCAGTGCCTCCTCAGCCAGCCTGCCCATGTCAGCCACTGCAGGGACAGAGCAAACATAGAGCAAGGGATCACTGTGTGCTTTGTACCATGTCAAGGGCTCCTTGGGGACTGGTGCCTCTAATCCTTACTGTGACTGTGAAAAGCATAGAGAGGGTAAGCTGCTTGTCCAGGGCCACGTAGTAGGAGGTGGCAGAGTTGGGCTGGAACCCAGGCAACCTTGCAGCACTGGGTCGGGGTAAGGGCCTGAAGAATGGAACAAGGTCCTCCCACGCACTGTCACCTGGGAGGGTCCCACCCAGCCTCTCCAGTCCATTCCTGGTGAGGAAGGCCACACTTGTGACCCTTCTGCGCCCAACTCACCGGAGAACATCTCTCCCTGGGCAGTGTAGCCTCTCTCCATGGCCATCTGCACGAGTGTTTCCAGGGGGATGCCGCTGGGTGGCACCAGGAGAGTGCCTGCCATCCACAGGGCCACCAACCCACACCTGGGAGAGAGAGGCCCAGCCCCGCAACCCCTAAGTCAGGTCTTTACTGAGCCCCCTCTGCTCTGGAAGCTGGAGTATGGGGAGCAGGAATGTTGCCCTGGGGGCGTTCCCCTCCACTTTCCCAGGCCAGGTGAGGAGACCTGATACTCTTGTGGCAGAGAGGCTGGCTAAGTACTGAGGATGAGGGGAAGGGGGAGGAGATATCACCCAGGCTTCCAGGATGAGTAGCTGCCAAGTGGAGTTAGGGATGATGGACCAGATTCATTTGTTCACTCACCTGCTTACTGATTCCAACTCTGTTTACTGCACATGCATCCAGGACCCTGACCTGTTAAGTTCCCCGTCTCCGTCCCCTCCCTAGGGTGCTGAGATGAACCCACTCCTCCCAGCCTCCTGGGTCAGACCTCATTAAGCACAGCAAAGGCAGAGGCTTGGGACACATGGCTGGCAAGGGGTTGGGGCTCCCATCAGGGTACGTACTGAGGGCCTTCTTGGATGAGGGAGGGCAGGTCTGTACAGAAGAGGATCCACTGCAAGTCACTTCTGAAACTGAACCAGAGCCAGACTCGGGTCACAGGAGTCCATCCCCCCGCCCCCCCAGAAGTGAAGGGGAGGAATACAGAGCGAGGCAGCTCCTGGCTACTCCTGGCTTAGTCACTGACTTCCTTCACCGGACAGGGCACTTCCCCTGCCCAGCCTCAGTTTCCTCATCTGCTCAGTGGGAATGACCCTTCCACCTGCTGCTCCCTGCTCCTTCTCTTAGTTACTGAAGGGGCAAAGAGCAGATGTGCAGAAGTTTTGCAACTAGGAGCTAGAGTGATTTGTTAGAGGAAACTTCTCTAAGGAGCGTCTCTATACTCAAACTCGGTGATTTTCCCTTCTTAAGCCTGTTTCTCAGGTTGTTAAATAAGGTAAAAATCCCTTAACTCAGTCAGCCTTGACTAAAACTAGGAAACAAGCTCCAGGCCTAGAGATCACTTTGATAATGAACCCCACCCAGCCCCACCCTCTGGGAGTTAAGGTGTCCCAATCGATTCTTTCCCCTTCCAGGGCTCAGGAGGGTCAGGGAGATGTGCTTAATTTCTATTCTAAGGCGAGTGAAAGGGCAAGGCTGGTTTGGGGGGGACCCTCAGATGACAGGAGGTGACATACAGGATGATGGTTAAAACCATGGAGCCCCATTGCCAGAGTTCAAACTGGGCTCTTCCCCTGCTAAGAACTGTGGCTGATTTCACTGCTATGAGCCTCAGTTTCCTTATCAGAAAATGGGATAAGAGTCCCTACCTCCTAGAGTTGCTGATAGGATTAAATAGTACATACTTAAAAACACAATGCCGGACATACGCTAGGCATGTAATAATGGGTGTTTTCATTTTCATTAAATTTGTCTCATTATGGTTGGGACATTTAGGGCAGATTATCAACTTGCCTAGAAAGCTGGAAGTTTCTTATGAGTCTGGACTTTTCTCTCTTCCCCTCAGCCAGGCAACTGTTAAATCGGGTCCCCACAGCCCAGCCAGGTCTAGCCCCTCCTGCTCAGGTCCCTGGGTGTTCCAGCTTCCTCCTGGGCCCCCAGACTCGAGTCCATGGTTCTCCCGTGACCACAGGACAGTCTCCTTCCCTCACATAGCCCTCCAGGCCCTGCCCACCTGTGAAACCCTATCGTTGCCACTTTCCTGGTTCCATTAAAGAAATATCTGCAAGGCCTTAAAAAGAACATCTCTTCCTTTCACTCTGGGTCTATGCACAAGCTGCTTACTTGCTCAAAAGCACTCAGGGGTCCCCCTCTCCAGGCAGGCCCCACTGGCCCCACCCTGGGTCTGGCACTCCCTCTGACCACTCTGGTGAAGGAAAGGATCTCTCTTACTGGACTAAGTGCTTGTGAGGGCAAGAGCTTTCTTCCTGGCTGAAGGCACATCATCAATGAGGGGGTATAAATAGGGCGCTGAGGCAGTCAGGCTGTTTGACCTTGAGGAAATGGGAAACCCCAGGAGGAGATGGAGGAAGCGATTTGGGGACAGGTGGTTTGGTGAGACCCTGGGTGGGTGGGGTGGGGAAGGGCATGGAGACCCTACCGGTCCTTGTGATGCTTTAGGAGCCTCTTCACGTCTTCTCTGCTGCTGGGGACTGGGCCGGCCTTCTCCAAGGCCTCCTTCAGAAGCTGGCTCTTCTCCAGGCCGAAGACATGAGGGGGAGCAGCACCCGTGGCAGGGGGTGGAGGTGGCAGTGGCGGTGGTGGGGGAACAGGGGTCTGGAGACTTGAGGGAGAGGGTGGCAAGGCTGAGTCCGGAAGATGTGGGGGTGAGGGAGGAGGTGGAACGGTGGAGGCCTGGGATGCAGGGGTTCTTGGAGAGATTGGGGGCTCTAGGGGAGAAGAGCATGAAGAAATCATTTTGGAGTCAATGGCATGGGCTGGAAGGATGGGAGAGAGAAGTATCCTCCAAAATGGGTTGGTCTCAGGGATGGAGATTTTGAAGGTTTTAGAGCGGAGTTCTGGAATTGGGGGGATAAGCAATGGGGCTAAAACATGGAACCATGGACGCGAGGATTGGGGCTGACTCGAATCAGGAAGGCTCTGAGGGCTAACAGGGCGGGGTCCTTTGATCCGGAACCAGGTCTGTGCTATGCAGTAGTTGGGCTGCAAGGTCGAAACAGAGAGATTTAGGAGTTAGTTTATTATCGGGGGCTAGGTTTGGAAACTTGGGGAGTCAGTTTTGGGATACGAAGGCTGACCTGGGGTGAGGAGCCTGAAAGGTGGGATTTAGAGTCCAAAGACCAGATTAAGAATTTAGGCGTTGTCCCCCTTCACATCCCAGCCCCGAGTTTGGAACCTTAGAGCTGACCTTTGAGTCAGAGGTCAAGAGGTCAAAAGGACACCTGGCAGGAAAAATGGCCTAGTTGTGGAGACGGTCTTGGGATCAGCGCGCTACAGGAAGACTCTGTGGGGTAGGGAAGACTCAGAGCTTGGAGGCCGTCAGGAGCAGCGATACCGTTGGAACAGGGAACGGAATCACAAAGTAACACGCACAGCCCCTTCCCCAAATGGCGGCCGCAGCGCGCCGCCTTTCCCATGTTACGTCCTAGGCCTCACGTGCGCGCCCGCCCCTTTAGCGATCACGTGACAGAGCGCGCCGGGCCGCGCGGGAGAGGTGGGGCTTCCAAAGGACTGCCTCCGCAGATATGGCGGCGCGAGCTGCGACCCAATTGGCCAGAAGCGCACTCTTCACTGATTGGTTTGTTGCCTGCGAGGGAAGGCGAGGTTTTTCTCTCGAGGCGGGAACCCAAGGACCCTTTTGATTGGCAAGTTCTGGGTAGACATTGATTGGCAAGGTCGGGCAAGACTTACTCTGATTGGCCAAGCTACCAAGTTTCTGGGCGGGGACTGGCTTGCAGAACGGTGAAGGCGGAGCTAGTAAAGGAAGCTTCGTGCTCGGCCCTCAGAAACGCCGCTGGAGCCGCTTGCCGGACCTGTAGCTCTGTTGGTGAGTAATCGCGGGCGCAGGCGGCCATGGCGTCGGGCGGGCAGAGCGTCTGGCGCCGGGGTCTTCCCACGCTTCGTGTGGGGAAACTTTTCGTGCTGCGCGTGGCCAGGGCACCATAAAATCACTAACTGGCGCTTACATCCGGGTTTTTCCCCCTGGTCCGCCCTGTGAGCGCGTGGGCCAATGGAAATCACCATTCATTACGCTCCGCCTATTAAGTCGCGTAGAGCATCCTGGGGCTCGTAGTAAACCTCGAGATTTTCCTCACCACGCGGGAGAAGTGGTGTCCAGTATCGCTTTGTTTTCCAAACTGTGCACCCGTCTTCCCTCCTTCCTGCCTAACCTGACTTCCTCCTGGAAGGGAGATCCCTGAGGAGTCCGTCTAGCCGCGTTCGGACAAAGGATTTCGAGAAACCCAGGACTGAAGTTACCTTTTTCATTCTTTCAGCCCTACCGCGGCACCTCCCTCCATGGCAGTTCCCGAGGCCCGCCCTAACCACACTATTTATATCAACAACCTCAATGAGAAGATCAAGAAGGATGGTGAGTTCTGGAGGGAGTCCAAGCTCCAACTATCTCGCACGAGTCGGTCCTTTTTCATCCCCAGCATCCACTTCCCTTCCTCAGCCATCTCTTCCAAGCAAAATATTAGAGTTTAACCCTTCGGTCTTTGCACGTGCTGCTTCCTCCGTCTTTAACACTCCCCCAGTTAGTCTTACATTCTGCCCATTAGCCCAGTCACTTGCTCATCCTTAAGGGTTTCAGCTCACAGGACCCTGTATGTGCTCTGACTGGGAATCGAACCCCTAACCTTCTGGTGTATGTAAGGACATCACTCCAACCAACTGGGCCATACTGTCCAGGGCGAACCCGATTCTTGACATCAGACATACCTTTTCATTTTCTTCAGCAAGTTGTCACCTTTATGTAACCTCCTTTTCTATATTCAAGAACTGGACAAAACCATGACACCTTCTTTGCATGGATGTTTCAGGGATTAAATAAGCTAAGCCTCCATGCAGTGCTGCTTTTTCATGGCACCCAGCAGTTAGGGCTGGATAAATATTAGCTCTGATTTTCACCTCAAGAAAATTGTAGGAAGAACCATAGAGGAGCTTGCTGGGTTTAAGTTTGAGGTTACCAATAAACTTGCTGTTAAACAAAATAAACTGTGTAGATCACCCATGTGCTTTTAAAACATCATGCTCAGGCTGTACTTTTTGGTGCTGGGGACACACTGGTGACTGGGACAGTTCTGATGCCTTCATGGAGCCACAAGTCCAGTGGGAATGAGAGACCTGCTAGCGGGCAGTGATAGCCCAGAGTAGCCAGGGCCATGATTGGGAAAGCACAGGGGTGGCATTGGGCACTGAGAAAAAAGGATTCATTGGGTTTCACAGAAAAGGAGGTATTTTGGGGAAGCTTTCCAGGTAGGGGAAGCAGTACAGTTGACCCTTGGACAATACTGGTTAGGGGCACTGAGCACCCACGCAATAGGAAATCCACACATAACCTAAGTCCGCCCTCCATATACATGGATTCCCAGCTGTGGGTCAAAAATAGTATTTGTTAGAATGAGGGAGAAGAGGGTTCCTAATCTGGACCAGCATGTGCAGATGTCTAGGGACAAAAGAGCCTGGGACATTCTGGGAACTAAAGTAACTGTGTGTGTACCTGAGGCCTAGTGGCCTGTGACTTAAGGAGAAGATTCCAATGAGCAGTGCACTGATTGCTCATGGGGCCTTGGACTTTGTTCTGAGGGTGTGGGGAACCGAGCAAGGAACTCAGTTGTGAAAGAAAGATCTTAGCAATGGAGGGAGTGGGCCAGATGGGCAAATGGGGAGAGGCCCAGAGTCCCAAGGAAGGACTGAGGCCCAAACTGGGTTCATGGGGATGGAGGATGGAAACACACCCAGAAATGTTATCATAATTTTTGATTAATTGCTTCAAAGCATCTTTGCTTTCCCTATATTCCTTCCACCCCCACATTCACTTTCTTTTTTCCCCCTCTCATATCTTTTTCACCAAGCATCTTCAGCTCAGATGCCTTCTTTGTATAAGATTGGTACCCTGTTCTGGCTGTGAAGTAAGGCAGTTTGCTAGTGAGGTGTGGTGATACTGGGTTCACATGCATTTGGGCCCCAGTCCCAGCCCATCTGGGTCTTCCTAGAGCCCTTGGGTCAGTTACAAATTCTCTGAAAACCTTTTTCAATGTTAGCAAAATTGCTACCTCACGGGGTGTTTGTGAGAATCTAGTGACTTTGTTTTGTTTTGTAAGATCAAGAGATTTTATTATTTAAAAATCTGAGGTTTTTATTTGCTTAAAAAAGAGACGACAGGCCCAAAATGAAGTCTTTAATGACATTTTTCCCATAAAACAAAGGTATCTTTATTCATGCAAATATTTTTGGAGACGTTTGTGTGCTGGAACCTACACTGAGCATGGAGATACTTCAGTGAACAAATGCTTCTCCTAAGAAGTAAATAAAGGTGGTATCAGGAGGAGGGAAGTGCCATGAAGGACAGCAAGTAGGGCAGGAGGAGGGGGAGCGACATGAGGGGATGTTTCATTAGACAGGGTGGTGAGGGAAGGCCTTTGAGACCTGGGTGATCAGGTGGCAGCCATGGATGCATTAGGAGAAAGGTGTTCCTTAGAGGGAGTAGTCTGTGCAAAGGTCCTGAGGCACAGTTGGTATGATGGGCTAGAAAGGGGTTGGGAGGCTAGCATGGCTGGAAATACTGGAGCGAGGTGGAGTCTGGGGAGAGATGAGGTTGGAGGAGTTGGCTAGAGCCACATTGCACAGGCCTAGTCAAGGTGCTAGTAATAAGGAACAGAAGTGCTGGAATTTGCTATATGCCCTTTGTGTGACTTGTGTTCCCTACACATCCACCCTGCAGGGTAGGTACTGTTACTGTTGACCTCTTGCAGAGGAATGCACACAACCACTTAGTGCAACTTGGCTGCTACTGTTGCTGGTTCTTGAGGGATTGCTGACCCATGGTATTCTGGGTATTTTTAGTCGGCTGGTGTTTCCCTTCTGTGCTGCACTTTCCTCCGAAAACAGGAGCTTAAGACCGAGGCATGGTACCAAGGCCTGTAGTCACCCATGGATCTTTCCTCCCCACACTGCAGAACTGAAGAAGTCCCTGTATGCCATCTTCTCCCAGTTTGGCCAGATCCTGGATATCCTGGTGTCACGGAGCCTGAAGATGAGGGGCCAGGCCTTTGTCATCTTTAAGGAAGTCAGCAGCGCCACCAATGCTCTGCGCTCCATGCAGGGATTCCCCTTCTACGACAAGCCCATGGTGAGCACTGTGGGTGTGGAGGGCTAGTGTTTGTCCTGAAAGTGGATGTGACTCCCAGGGTGCTGCAGAGCCATGGAAAGGTTTAGGGAAATGCCGGTGGCTGTTGGATAGAGTGGATTGAGGGAGGGAATTTAGGGTCCAATTTTGAAGGAGAGGCTGGGTCAGGCTCCCAGGTGGGAGGGCTTGGTCTGGGACCAGGGCAGGGGCCCAGGGATGAGAGAAAGGAAGTTGGGTTGCAGATGTTCACAAGGCCAAGTGGACGGCCAAGGGAGCTGCTCTCTGGAGGTAAGGAGTGGCTTGAAGCCCCTGCCATGAGCTGTAATTCCTGCCAGATTGCTGGCAGACATCTTTGGTCTTTCGGGCCTTTTCCCTTGTTCCTTAATAGATTTTCTAGTTCGACTTGGTTGGAATGTGCCTCCCTGAACCACTTTCCTTGGGGCGGTGACAGCAAGTGCCAAGTACCTGCAGGTCCCTAGACAGGTGACCTCAGTGGGGAAGGCAGGTCATGTAAAAGAGGGTGGGCCCCCAGGGCAACAGAGCAGTCTGGAGCACTCTCATCTCCATTGCTTTGACTCCTGTCCTTTGCCACCTCTGGGTCTTAGGGCCCAGAGTTGCCACATCTTCCAGCTACCTTTCTAGAGCAACTAGGAATTAGCTTTTGAGGTATAAAAACCATAAATCTTTTTGTGTTGACCCTCCCCCGCTTTTCTTTCCAAGTAACTGCTTGGACTATATCAAGCACTCAGGCATGTGTGAGATTTGTCAGGGAGTCCTGTCAACTTGGCCTTCAAGACACCCACCAGCTGCCACCCACCTGGGCACAGCCACCACCATCTCTTGTCAGGACTGTGGCAGTGGCCCTCCCCCAGATCTCCCTGCTTCAACCCCTGCTCCCCACAGGCTGTACTGTCGCCACGCTGCTCCTTATGAAACACTCCCCTGCTTATAACATCCATAGCTGGTGGCTTTCTCAGGAAAAGACATAGTCCTCCCTACAGTCCTCAGGGTCCTTGTTGCCTCTGTGACCTTTTCCCTTCCCTCTTCCTTGTGTACATTGGCTTCTTTGCTGTTCCTTGAACACCCTGTGCACACCTTAGCACTTTGATGGCTGTTCTTTTTGCTAGAACGCTCTTTCCCTAGATGTCCCACAAGGCTCCCTCCCTCCCTCCCTTGAGTCTCTACATCAGTGTCGGCTCATTGAGGCCGTTCCTGGACACCCCATCTGAACATTTCTATTCTTCGCAGTACTTCTGCAGTTCCTATCTTACTCCTCTCTGTCTTTTCCCCTCTGAAGAAGCTGTGTGAGGGCGGGGCTCCTGGAGGTTCCACAGACGGCTGGGTGAATGGTGTTTAGCTCCGGACTAAATGCAGGGAGTGGCTGGGAACCCCTACAGAGTGCTCTTGGCCTGGCTTGCCTGTCGCCTGGGGCTACACCCGTGGCCCTGTGGCCCTGTGCTCAGGGCTGTCCCATCTTCCCTTCCGAATTCTGACAGCCCACCAACTGAGTGCTAACTACGTGGCAGGGACTGTTCAGAGCCCTTTCTCATGTAGCCTTCACAGTCATTCTTTGAGGTGGAAAGCACGCCCCCGGTTTACAGATGAGGGTGTTGAAGCCCAGTGATTTCCTTAACGTTACTCACTGAGCTCTTGCTAAGGTCCGCTTTTGCACCTAGGCAACTGGCTCCAGAGTCCACTCTCTTAACCCTTCGATTCTCTGTTGGCAGCGCATCCAGTACGCCAAGACCGACTCGGATATCATTGCCAAGATGAAGGGCACCTTTGTGGAGCGAGACCGTAAGCGGGAGAAGAGGAAGCCCAAGAGCCAGGAGACCCCAGCTGCCAAGAAGGCCGTGCAGGGTGGGGCAGCCGCCCCTGTGGTGGGGGCCGTCCCGGGGCCTGTGCCGGTAAGCCGGGGCCCCCGCATCACCAAGCCTTTCTCTGCTACGTAGCCTGGCTGGGGGGTGGGGGGGGTCTCCTCTTGGGGATTTAGAGACACACCTTCCATTTCCTTACGTTGTTGTGTGCCTGTCTCTGGGTGATGGTGTCTCCACTCCCCTCCCTGCTTGCCAGATTCTTCCTTAGAATCCTTTCTCTGTGTCCCAGTCTCTTGGTTTCTCTCTCCTTGACCTTGATGTTGCTCTCTCTAGGAAATCCAGAGGAAGCTAGTAAGCAATAGTTAGGATTAAAAAGGGAACTTAATTTAGCAAGGTTGCCAGGTATAAAGTCAACATGGGAAAGAATAAGCTCTATTTCTATATGCTAGCCACCCAGAAGTAGGCTTCAAACCGAAAAATATCTCTGAGGAGTCAGTTCAGCAAAACGCGTGCAGTCCTTACACACACACACACACACACACACACACACAAATTAGAGGTGGTCTCAGCAGATGGCTAGAGGAGCTTCCTGCTGTTCAGATGTCAGTTCTTCCCAGATTGGTCTAAAAGTCAACACGATTCCAATCAGAACTCCAACAGGAATTTTTGGGACACTGACAGCCTGTTTCACAATGTCTGTGGGAAGACAAAGCAAGGTAGGCAAGGAGAATAAAGCTGGGAGGGCCTGCTGCAGTGGTCAAGATGGTGTGGTATTGGCCTGAGGGTAGGAAGATGGACCAGTGGGGCAGAACAGTCCAGACACAGATCCACACATGTGGTTACTCAACATAGGATGAAGCTAACGCTGCAGTCCAGTGGTGAGGGGATTTTTTTTCCTAGTAAATGATGCTGGACCAATTGGATATCTGTAAGGGAAAAATTCAGCTCTACCTCAACTAGATATAAGTTAATTTGAGATGAATCATATATTCAAATGTGACAGCTAAAGTAAAGGTTCTAAAAGAAAACAGGAAAATGCCTTCATGACCTTAGTGAGGGCATGAAAAATAGGAGCATCCTGTTTTCTAAACAGGATGCAGAAGCATATAGTATGAAAGAAAAGATGGATGAATTGCACCTACTGTAGGCCTTCAGGTCTCCATGTGAGCTTTTCTGGTGGGTCACACGGTATTTGTCCTACATCCACTGATGCCAACTCACTCTGGCATCAGGAATGGTGTCTGGGTTAGTATCCACCTTCTCCACTCTTCCCTTGTCCCCTCTTCTGTGTCCAGCTTTGTCCACCTCCAGCAGCCCTGTCCCCTCAGTGCATGTGCTGTGTCATCAGGCTGTCTTGTTTCTTAGCCTCGCTGCCACCCCTCTTTGTTTCTTTCTGTGCCTGCCTTGACCTTCTCTGTTCACCTTTGCCTTCCATTGTTTCTTTTTCCTCTGTAGTCTCTGGATCTATTTCTTTGGTTTTTCCTTAAAGTTTATTTTTAAAAGCCAAAGTATAGCATTCTCATTATAGCACTTATTTGCACTTCTTTTAGTTAACACTTGTTAATAATTTTGAAATTTTTCCTGTTTTTCCTCCCACTCATATATCTATCAACAAAGTTATCTATAAACAAATTTTTTTTCTATTAGAAAATAATTTGTTAATTTTCTGTTTTGATGTCCCCCTTGACCCTGGGTCTGTTTTGCTCCCGCTGTTTCTCTTGGTGTCCTTTGTCTCTTTGGGTGCCTTTTTTACCTATTCCCAAGTCTGGGCCTTTCTCCCTGTGTCTCATACCTTTTCTAGCAACCTTTTCTCCTGTGTGCCTCCTAGTGACATTGAAAGCAAGTTTCCTCCTACTTATCAGCCACCCCACTCAGTCCACCCCTCCCTCTCTCCGCAGGGCATGCCACCAATGACTCAGGCGCCCCGCATCATGCACCACATGCCTGGCCAGCCTCCCTACATGCCACCCCCTGGCATGATCCCACCTCCAGGTCTCGCACCTGGCCAGATCCCACCGGGAGCCATGCCCCCACAGCAGCTTATGCCTGGCCAGATGCCACCTGCTCAGCCTGTAAGTGTCTAGTCTTTCTGGGGTCTCATATAAATAGTCGGAACTTGGGAATTGAAGGGGACTGGTGGGGGTGCTGTTTTAGGTTGGGTGGTCTGGGCAGGCCTCCCTGAGGAGTGCTATTGGAGATGAGGGTGAGGCCCCGGGGCAGCAAGGGGTTGGCATGTTTGTTGGAGAAGCTTTGAAGGTCCGAGCGAGACAGGAGCAGTGGCTAGCACCTGGATTCACATTCGGTGATCTGCGGAGTACTTGCTTCTGGATATAGCAGTGCTCTCATGTGGCTCACAGTCTAGAGGGGGCGAAGTGGGGTAGACAGGCAGCAACACAGGGTGAAGGGCTAGAAAGGATTCAAGCAAGGTGGGGGGTGGAGAGCAGGAGGGCAGCAGATCCCCCACTAGACTCATGGGCTCCTGTCCCTTCCCCACAGCTTTCAGAAAACCCACCAAATCACATCTTGTTCCTCACCAACCTGCCAGAGGAGACCAATGAGCTCATGCTGTCCATGCTTTTCAACCAGTAAGTGAGCCTGTGGCTGGGCAGGGGCTGGAGGGTGATGGCCAGGGGGTGGCACCATCAGGACAGGCCTCAGAATTCTGTGCCTGCTTAGGCTTTGTAGGTGGGACAGCGACTGGAGGCTGGAGAGGAGGAGGCTGAGGTCAGGCCCATAGCCCGTGGGGTGTGATGATAACAAGGCTGGGGGTCAGCAGTGGCCAGAGCATGTGTGCCATCTGCCTTCATGGGGGTAGGGGTGGAGAGGCTCTGGGCCTCAGCTTTCTGGTCTGTCGGATATAAGGTATGTGGAAAAGAAGAGTGAGACGTCATTGAACACTGGCCAGACTGGCAAAAATCAGCACGTTCAAACAGCAAGTGTGGGCAGTGGGGGGGTTTGAGCCCCTTGCCGTGCTGGTGGCATGTAGACCTTATGGCCATTGCACCGGATAACATGTCACTGCTTAGCAAAGGTTGGGGGTGTGCCATCACCTGCTGGCTCTGCTTGTATGTGTTTATTGGGGTGGTTCTCCACTCATCTCGATTCAGATGCTCTTAGTGCTGCTTCCTTCAGAAGGAGCCTCCTCTGTCCCCCTTGCTTTTCCTCCTGAGGCCGACAGCACAGTGGAGCGTCCAGCATACAAAACTACTGTCCGGCTAAAGACGGTGGTGATTTTAGCATCCTGGGCATTTCACATCCGTGAAGTAGGAACTGGGGCTCTGCACTGGGTGCTCCTCTTTATGTTTTCTCTTCTGGATCCCTGAGGTCTTTCTCCTTCTCGCAGGTTCCCTGGCTTCAAGGAGGTCCGGCTGGTCCCAGGGCGGCATGACATTGCCTTTGTGGAGTTTGACAATGAGGTTCAGGCAGGGGCCGCTCGTGACGCCCTACAGGGCTTCAAGATCACCCAGAACAATGCAATGAAGATCTCCTTTGCCAAGAAGTAGCGCCTTTTCCCCATGCCTGCCCCTACCCCTGGTTTGGGGGCCTCCCCTCTTCCCCTTGGCTTGGCCCCCTGAAGGTAAGTCCCCCTCGGGGGCCTTCTTGGAGCCGCATTTGTGAGTGAGTGGTCACACAGCATTGTACCCAGAGTCTGGCCCCAGACATTGCACCTGGCGCTGTTAGGCTGGAATTAAAGTGTTTTTTGATGTTTGATTTTCTACAAGGATTTGTTGTTTGTATTTTCTTGTCCTCTGTGGTTCCCTTTTCTGCATATCAGAGTAGCCTGAATAAATTTTTGGACCTCTCATTTGCAATCTTGGGAAGGCAGAGTATGTAGTAATATTGTCTAAGCTGAAGTCATCTTTACTACTTTGGCAGATTTCTGTTTTGTCTCAATCAGCATCCAGTGCAGGAAGTTGAAACCCAGCCTGCCATGTACAGTTGGACGGGTTCTACACTGCACAAGGATGCGGCCTGTAATGGCACACTGTTCACTTTGTAGACCACTAATTCTCTAACATGATGGGGTGTTAAGAAGTTTTTCTTTGCCTTTTTCTAATCTTCACAAAAGTGCCTTCTGTTATAGCAACAGGCCCACAATAACCACTCCGGGTACTTCAGGAAGAAAGGAGGGAATTGAGTGCTTATGCAATCATTGGAAGGATAGTAGGAATGGGAGTCTGGGCTTGAAACACTTGAGTTCAAGTTTGTAACCCCTGATGGAGCTTCAATCCAGAATTCAGGAAGATGCCACAGCTGCTAACAGGAGGCCCAGACTGCCTTCATCACAATGGGAAGCTACCAACCAGATGCTGGTACAAACACAGCTGACCTCCCTTGCTGGCCAGCCGTTGCCAGCCAGGAGACCCAAATTCCTCTCCAGTGCCCTATCTGCAGGGGACTCTGCAGGGGACTCATGTTTTCAGCTGAAGCTGTGGATAAGGGAAGATAGTATAGGGGACCTTCCTTAACCTCTGTCACACACCTAACCTGGAGAATTTTATATTGATTGAAAAAAAGGTATTGCCTCAGACCCTTTCTCATACCATATAGATGGGAAAATGAGATTATTTGCCACAAGCAGGAAATTAACCACAAAAATAAATGCAGTAAGACATGGTGTTGCTTTCTCTGTATATTTTTTCCTGCCAAGGCTAAGCCTAAGCCTTTCTCTGCTTTGCTCTTTCCATTAAAGAGGAATATCGGTGAAGTGATGAGACTTGTAGCACCAAATGCAGATTTTCTCCCTGTAAGATCTGAAAAATTGGCAGGAGAAAGGGATTGCCCCCTTTACTACAAGATATGGTGTTATTGCAGATGGCAAGTGGAAACATCTTGCCCACCACACTGGTTCTGTGGTCAGCAGATCTTAGCCTCTGCTGTCTGCATGGAGGACTCCCTAGGTGTTCCTCCACCCACTCTGAGAGTCATTTTCTTCCTGTGTAAAGAGGAATCTGTGTTAATACTGCAGTATTATTTGTACTGTTACTCCCCTCCCCCAGCACTCCCCCCACTGCCAGGCACTTAGTAAGCACTCAATAAATTCAGCGGATACTTGCTGAGTACCTTTTATGTGCTAAATACTGTTCTTGGCATAGGATATACAGTGGTGAATAAAATAGACGAGCTGATTTCAAATACTGCGTACCAGCAAAAATGATGTCATGAAGCAATGAGAGGATAAGGCTGGGGAACTGACTGGGCAAGCTGGAAAGCTCCTTACAGGGGTTGCCATTTGAGTAGAACTGTTTAACATTCTCGTGGTACTGGTCATTGGGTATGTGGGGTGATTTGTGTGCCCCCGATGAATTCACCCGTAGCCTGTGTGTGTGCACCCACTTCCCCCCTAAACAATTTTTGGACTTGCCATCCCAGAGGTGAGAGTGCCTGGGGAAAGAGGTGGATGCTCAGGGGGATGATCTTGGCATGTGGCTCTCTATTTGAATTACAGTTTAGAGGTGAGACTTCAAATCCTCCACTTTATTTTATAAAAATAAGTTTTTATTGATTTGGGAGGAGGAGAGAAACATCAATCAGCTGCCTCCTTCATGCCCTCTACTGGGGATCGAGCTCCAAACCCTGGCATGTGCCCTGACTGGGAATCAAACCAGTGACCTTTTGATGCATGGGACAGCACTCAACCAACTGAGCCACATCGGCCAGGGCTCCACTTTTTTTTCTAACCTTGGGCAACCGAACTCCCAAGCTCAGTGTGGGCCTGGAGCCAAAATCTAGCCCCTGCATTTCCTGGCTCTATAACTTTGTGGGCAACTTTCTTAAGGCTCTGTGCTTCCATTTCCACACAAAATGGGGTTATGGTAGCCCCTCTTGAGGTGATGCAGAGTATTCATTTGAGTTAATAAAAATAAAATGGTGAGTGCTCTGTAAATAACTATTAGTTTTTATTATCCCTATTTTACAGATGAGAAAGGTGAGGCTCCAAAAGGAGACTATAGCTTAGCCCAGGTCAGTCAGGGAGTGACTGGTGAGGATAAATAGTGGTCACGGCAGGGTATCACCTACCCTAAAGTCCAACGTGAAATATTCACTCAGTACTTAAGTGCTGGTGCTATTCCTGGCAATCAAAGGGCCGCCTGTTCCCTCAGCACAGGAAATTCCAAGCCAGGTACCCAAGCCGACTGGAGAAGATGGAATTGAATATCCCAGCCTGCCTGTCTGGGTCTCTGATTGCTGAGGGGGTAGCTGTCACTTGGAGTGGCCTGGGTAGCTTTGGGTCTGTCTGGGCATTTCCTTGGGTGGTCAGCCCTCACCCTGTCCTTGAAATGGTTCTGGCTGGGCAGCAGTCTCTAGGTGGTTTGGGGCGGGGACAAGACTGAGAACACAGGTTTCCTTGTACTGCTGTAGAGAGGGAGGACAGGAGGAAATTGGAGACCCCATTCCCCCCTTAGTCACTCTCCTGCTCATAGTCCATGATGGCTTGGTCCAGGGTGTTCCTCGGTGTCATCATCTTGCTGTCTGCCTTCCCAGGGCCCACTTTTGGGGGCCGCCCCATGCCCAAGCTCGCTGACCGGAAGCTGTGTGCTGATGAGGAATGCAGCCGTAAGAGTTGGGGTGGGGGTGGAGGAGTGGGGGGCTTGGATTGCCAGCCGGAGAGGAGGGTGCTGTCATTCCCTTCTATTCCTTCTCAGACCCCATCTCCATGGCTGTGGCCCTTCAGGACTACGTAGCGCCCGACTGCCGTTTCCTGACCATACACAGGGGCCAAGTTGTGTATGTCTTCTCCAAGCTGAAGGGCCGGGGTCGGCTCTTCTGGGGAGGCAGCGTGAGTCTTGGGAGAATAGAAGAGGAAGGGGTATGGGACTGGCATGGGAGTGCACACTAATTTTCCACATAAAGGGGAAATTTAAGGGGGTGAACTGAAATAGTTTTGGGGGGCTATTATGATCTATTTTTACTTTGTTTAGCAATAATTATAGAGAACCCCCTGTGGTGCCAAGTTCTGTTCTAGATACTGAAGATACAATAGCAGATAATCCCTTTTATTCTAATGGAAGAAGACAAGCCATCAAAGGTATCAGCAAATGTGCTTCTTTGAAAATTAGTATGAATGACTGGGTAAGTATATCAGATGATCAGGGAGGCCTCCGAACAGGTGACTTTAAGCTGAGATCTGATTGACAAGGATGGAGCCAGCTATGTGGACATCAGGGAGAAGAGCTAGTGCAAAGATCTTCAGCAGGTGTGAGCTTACCATCTTCCCAGACCCAGGCTTTTAACCCCTTTTCCCCAGGTTCAGGGAGATTACTATGGAGACCTGGCTGCTCGCCTGGGCTTTTTCCCCAGTAGCATTGTACGGGAGGACCAGACTCTGAAACCTGGCAAAATCGATGTGAAGACAGATGTGAGTGTGTTGGGGCTGGCAGGGACCTAGAGGGAGGACCCTTGGGTTTTGATAATGGGCAAAGAGCCTTCTACCTTTGGCTTCCCGGCAGCCTAGCTGTGTGCATTGGGACAAGTTTTCTGCCTTAGTTTTCTCATTTGCAAAACGAGGCATGATTTCTAAGTCCTGTTGCAGTTGAGAGGTGCAAGATTACAGGGCTCTGGGCTATTTTGTATTGCACTTGTGTGGCCAAATCTGACCCCTGAAGCTGCAGCCTGTGCTAAAACCACTAGATCCTTTGTGGTGTGACCAATGGTTTTGTCCCCACTGTTTTCCTTTTCTCTTTTCCAGAAATGGGATTTCTACTGCCAGTGAGCTCAGCCTACCGCTGTCCCTGCGTTTTTGGTTTTTTTTTTACTCCCGGCTTTATGCAAATACATCAGCCTAGTGCAAACTGCGAGTCTCCGTGGTCTTTGTGGTGGGGATCTCTAAAGGAAATGGGTACCCAGGTTCCTGAATCTAGCCAATCAACCTACCACTGCGGTAACGTCAGTGGTTGCTAGGCAGACCTTCACTGACAGCCCTTTGCTCCAAGCTGGGTACCGGAGGTGGGCTCCTAAAGTTAGATATCGCACAGAATCTGAACAGCCCAATAGGGGATTGTAGTGTCCTCTAGACCAATGGAAGGAAGTGAAACTATTGGGAAAGAGCCAGTTGGATCATGAGGAAGACATAAATCGCAGAGCAGAGGTTTTCTTGGAAGGTTATCTGCAAAGGGAGGAGGGAGGTGGTTAACCTGTGCGTATCCCCCAATTTTCATCCATCCTGCCTTGAAATCAGAAATTGCACTCACTAGGCTCTTTTATCAATCCTGCCATACCCCCTTCTTTGCATCCATATCCCCGTCCCCAAGTCCGCTAGTACCCAATGTGGAGTCTCGACTCTGCCCCCTCCTGACCAAATCCGTTTCTCTGCGGGCCAAGCACTTCTGCCCCGCCCCTTGCCACTTGCTCAGCCAATCGCTTGTCTTGGTCCCACCTTTTTCGACTCGTCCTCTCTCACTCCGCCAATCCGTGCACTTTGCCCCGCCCCCTGATTGCCGAGTCCGCCAATCCCTGCCTTTGGGGAGAGTGGCCGGGTATTCCGCAGCCCTTAGCGGGTCGCACCGGAGGCGGGTGGAGGCGGAAGTGGCGGCGCTGAGCCGCTGGAGTAGGAAGGAGCCGGGGCTGCAGCCGGAGTGGAGCGGCTGCCAGCCGAGGAGCAGGCGCGGCCGGGGCGCCATATTGCGGCCCTAAGCGGCCGCGACCAAGTCATGGCCGAGACCTACGGTGAGGATAGTGGGGGGAAGCTGGGGTCTGGGGTCTGGGCCCAGGTAGGATGCGGCCTGTGGGAATGGGGCGGGGCTTTATGCCAGGGGGCGGGGTCTGGTATTACGGGGCAGGGCCTAGTGGATGCTGGGAGGGGTTTAGTGTGTCTGAGGCTGAGCTTAATCGATTTGGGCGGGGCCTGAGGGTCTGGTTGTGAGTTTAATAGCTTGAGGCGGGATTTGAAGGAGCCAGTCATGATGGATCAGGGTAGGCATTGAGGGAGAGGGTGGGCCTTAAGATGGATGGGGAGGGGCTGGCTTGAATGGCAGGGGTCGAGTTTGATGACCTCAGGGGTTGCCTGAGGGATGCTCTCGACCCTGGGACTGCTCTGGCTTGAGAGGTCTCAAATGGGGTTGGGGATGAGTTGTCCTTGAATTATGGGGTGGGCCTAGTGACAAGAGGTGGGGCCTTGGGTAGAGGAAGAGGAAGAAGGGACTTAGAATTGGAAAGTCAGAGTGGATAGATTGGAGGTGGGAGGACAGGGTGCAGTAGAAAGAGCACTGGTTTAGGAGTCAGAGGAAGCTGCATTTATTCAACAGAGAAAAGCCTAGGGAACGGTGCAAAGATCCTGAGGTGGCAAACAGCTTGTCATCTTCAAGGAGTAGACTGAAAACCAGAGGCTAGAGTGGAGTTAATGAGTCAGAGTGGTAGGAGGTGAAGTTGTGAGGCGCAAGGGCAAGATTGTAGTCCTTGATAAAAGAGACCAGGTGGCCTGGGTTTGAATCCCAGCTTTGCCTAGCTGTGGGGCCTTGGGCAAGTCAGTTAACCTTTCTGGTCTCAGTTTCCTCATCTGGAAATGGGGTTAATTATTAGCACACCTTCCACATAGAGTTTTCCTGAGGATTAAGTGAGCTGTTGATGTAGGTAAAGAACTTTAGAACTGTGCCTGGTACATGGTAAGCATTTTATAAGAATTATCTGTTACCGTTGTTACCCATTGCTCTGCTTGTGTCTATTTCTTTCCCTGTAACTGTGATGGCTTCTTGGTTTCCATATTTTTTCCTGTATCCTTCTCTTCACTGGATTTTCCTGATTTTGGCTCCATCTGCTCAGACTTCCTCTTCAAATTCCTGGTGATTGGCAGTGCAGGAACTGGAAAATCATGTCTTCTTCATCAGTTCATTGAGAATAAATGTGAGTGTCTGGGAGTGGTCCTGGGAGCACTGAATGGTGGCATGGGCATGGCATGGGGCAGGTGGGCAGGGGCAGGGCTGGCCATAGGTACAGCTCCAGTGCTGGCTTCCTGGTCCTTGCCATGGTGATGCTCTTTGCTAGTTCCAACTGGAGCCTCAGTTGCCCCAGCAATGAGAATGGTTTTGTACAGGTTGAGGGGGCCTTGGAGGACAAGGAATCCTCTGAGGCCCTGTACTGCCTCTTTTCGCCCTCCCACTGCTCCCAGTCAAACAGGACTCCAACCACACGATCGGAGTGGAATTCGGATCTCGGGTAGTTAACGTGGGTGGGAAGACTGTGAAACTACAGATTTGGGACACAGCTGGCCAGGAACGGTTTCGGTAAGTGGGCTGGGCTCCAAAGGAGAGAGAGGGCTGGGGAGGGAGGAGAGAGGAGAGAAAATGGGAGAGAGAGGTGTGCAGAGATACTTGGAGATACAAAGATAGGAGCATGGAGACACTGAGAGGGCAGGCAAGGCAGAGGGAGAGAGACAGAGACTGAGTAGCAGGTACATACAGCCAAAGAGAGATGGAGTCCTGGAGAGAGGGTGACAGAGACAGTGAGAGAAAAAGAGACTGAGAAAGAAGCATAATAAAGGGTGAGAGAGCCAGGGAGAGATCAACAGGCCGTAGAGAGACTATGGTGGTTAGACCCATGTGGCTGGAGGGATGGAGACTTGTGCTCAGGGAGAGACTAAGCATGAAGAGAAAGACACATTTGGGGTGGGTGTGAGACGGTAGAGATGGAAAGAGAGCGACTAAAACAGAAAGAGAAGGGGATACTTGAAAGAGATACACTCAGAGAAGGAGAGAGGAAGAGAGAGAGACTGAGAGAGAAAAGATAAGGGAGATGAGACAGAACAGACAGGGAGAATGGCCAGGCGTAGCAGAGAGATGGAGAAACTTCTCTGTGTTGGTGGGAGAGACACCTGAGTAGGGCTCAATGCATGGTATGTCTTCAGGAAATGTCTGCAGAGAAAGTGATAGACACATAGAAACCCAGAGTCTGAGGAAGAGACAGAAGAGAAACAAGGGAATACAGTCCGTGAAGAAGAGCTGCTAAGTTAATAGCCGTGTGTTAGTTCACTGTGCGAGGTGCATAAATGCCAGAGACAGAGAAGGAGGGCAAAGGAAAAGCAGGTGTGTGTTATGAACTGGGTTTGCAGTAAGTGCTCAATATATGCTTGTGAAATGATTGCATGAGTTCTAGAGGGACCCAGACTGGTGACACAGGGAGATGCAGACAGTTAGCCACACTGGGAAGGGGGCCTCCCCCAGACACAGCACGAGAGGTACAAGCAGATGTATTTGCATAGCATTTGGCCAGGACTGGGCAAAGGGGAGATACAGAAAATGTTGAATGAATGAATGAATGAATGAATGAATGAATGAATGAATGAATGATAAAGCAAGAGTGGGCATGAGCGAGCCAGAGAGAAATAGAGATTTAAAGACACATACACATAAGGGAGGGAGAGAAAGACACAGGCCAATGAAGAAATACAGAAAGACAGGGATACAGAGAGTCAAAGACAGAGAGACTTAGAGGCAGACAGAGAGCTAAGTGAGATAGAAATGGAGGGAGACAGATTTCGAGACAGAGAGGCATTGTAGTGAGACTAGATCATGTCAGGGTTTGGGGTAAGGGCCAGCAGTGAAGGGAGGGCCTCCGAACCACCAGTCTCCACAGAGGGGGGCAGTCTTGGGGCAGACCCCAGCCTCTGGGGTGACTGGATCCCCCTTGCCCCATAGGTCGGTGACTCGGAGTTACTACCGAGGGGCGGCTGGAGCCTTGCTGGTGTACGACATCACCAGGTGGGTGTACGAAATGGATGGGGTGGGATCTGGACAGCCCCTCTCCTGCGCTCCCTCCGTTTTTTTCCCTCCTCCACAGCCGGGAGACTTATAACTCGCTGGCTGCCTGGCTGACAGACGCCCGCACACTGGCCAGCCCCAACATCGTGGTCATCCTCTGTGGCAACAAGAAGGACCTGGACCCCGAGCGCGAGGTCACTTTCCTGGAGGCCTCCCGCTTTGCCCAGGAGAACGGTGAGAGCCGTAGGGTGGGTGGTGGGGGTGGGGGGGCAGTCCACTGGAGCCGTGGGCCTCCTGGCTCTCTATGGCTGTGCCCAGCAGGTGAATGTGGAGGTTTAGAGAGGTCTGAGTTCAAATCCGAGTGTTGCCATATGCGGACCATGTGACTGCTCTGGTCCTCTGTTTCTTCATCTAGAAAGTGGGGCTCACAGTGTTTCTGACTCACATCCCGCGTGATGGTTAAGGGGCACGGATCATGGAAAGACTTCAGCACCGCCTGGATGGAGCAGGCACTTGATAATGTTGGCTGCTCAGAAGGTTTCAACCGTAATGGCGAGGGCACAGGGCATTGGTGAAAGGTAGCAACTGCAAACTCCAATGGCCCTAGGGGTCAGGCACGCTTTATGATTAAAGGAGATAGGTCGAGGTTGACCCCATGTTAGCAGGCACTGGCATTAGCGGAGTGGACAAGACTGACAGCCATGTTAAAAGGTATGCAAGTACAAACCCATTTGAAAATATCGTGTTGGCCAAACATCTGCTGGCTTAGCGACTGTCCCCATTCTTCCAGTCTTTAACTTCCAAGTTTAGAGGAGGCTTTGTCATGAGAAAGATGTGGGTTTCAATTCTGGTCCTTAATTTACTGTGAGGCTTTGTCACATGACTGATGGGTGCACTGTGGTGGACCTGGGCCTTGCTAGATGGTGCTGGGGAGACGGTGATGAAGACAGCCTTGGGCCCAGCTCCCAGTCCAGTGTAGGGTAAGTGGGCAGGCAGGCCCATTTCCAGACAGTGACAGCCCAGAAGGGTCAGGGCCAGGCTGGGGAGACACAGGGGCGCATGGAAGCCCAGAGGGGGCACTGGACCCTTCCTGGGAGGTCAGGGAGGACTTTCTGGAGGAGGAGATTTGTGAACTGAGCTCTGAAGGGAAAGCTAGGCGGGTGCCTGGGGAGAAGGGCATTCATGGAAAGGGAATGGTATGTACAAAGGCTGGGAGTGAGGGCAAAGGTGGCACATTTGAGGAACAGAGTGAGAGGCAGCAGGTCAGGGTCTGAGTGGGGGGTGGGGACTGACAGGCCCTGACCTTTTGAGCATCTGCCCCCAGAGCTAATGTTCCTGGAAACCAGTGCTCTCACGGGGGAGAACGTGGAGGAGGCTTTCCTGAAGTGCGCCCGCACCATCCTGAACAAGATCGACTCGGGTGAGACCCGGACTGACCTGTGGGAGTGGAAGGCAGGGGCCACAGGTTTCCAAGGGACCCAGTCTGATCTCTCCCCTCACCCCTAGGTGAGCTCGACCCTGAGAGGATGGGCTCAGGCATTCAGTACGGTGATGCTTCCCTTCGCCAGCTGCGGCAGCCTCGGAGTGCCCAGGCCGTGGCGCCTCAGCCCTGCGGCTGCTGAGACCTGCGGAGCCAGGTGGGATACTGGGGACTCAGGGACTGCAGGGTTGGTCTCCTGGCAAGGGGAAGTATGGAACAGAGACAGACACACAGAAAAGGAAAGGTAACAAGAGAAACATGGAGAAAGAAAAAGACAAGAACACTTGAGTTAAAGGATCCATCTTCCTGGCCATGGGGAAGTCCTTTCTATCCCACTGCCAGCTCCCTGCCCTGGATCTCTGACCCTCCCATTCATAATTCATCAAGTGTTCATTGAGCATCTCCTGTGTGCCAGGCCCTGTTCAAGTCACTGGTGAAACAGACACAAATCCCTGCCTTCATGGAGGAGACAGACAATAAACAAGACACATAAGTAAACTACAGTGTTACCTCAGTTTTCGAACGTCTCCGTTGACGAACATTTCGGTTTATGAATGCCATAAAACCAGAAGGAAATGCTTCAGGTTTCGAACACGCCTCTGAAGTCAAACATGCCACGCGGCTTCCACTGAGGGCAAGATCCTGAGGCCCCACTGTCGGCTGTTGATCCCTTGGTTTTCGAACATTTCAGAACTTGAACGGTCTTCCGGAGCGGACCACGTTTGAAAACTGAGGCACCACTGTATATAGTCATTAGGGAGATAAAAGCTATCCAGGGCAGGGAAGAGGGTTGGGGGGAGGAATGGAATTTTGAACAGGATGACGAGGCCCACTGAGAAGGTAATATTTGAGCAAAGACTCAAAGGAAGTAAGGGAGGAGGTCATATGGGGACCTGGGGGAAGAGTGTTCCAGGCAGAACAGCCTGTGCAAAGGCCTTGAGGCAGGATCATGCTTCATGTGGGTGAAGACCAAGGAGGCTAATATGGCTGGAGTGGAGTCTGTGTGTGCGCATGTGTGTGTTGAGGGGATGCAACAGCAGGAGGTGAGGTCAGGAGTGGAGGGAAGCAGATCAGTCAGGGTCTTGTGAACCACTGGGAGGACTCTGGCTTATACGCTGGGTGGAAGGGGAGCCATAGGAGGGCTCTGAGCAGAGGAGGGATGGGATGTGATTCGGGTGTTCACAGGTCCCTCTGACTGCATATAGTGGGAGACTTGGGGAAGGCAGGGGTGGTTGCTGGGAGACCAGTGCAGAGGCTGCTGCAAAGTCAAGATGAGAGATGATGGTGGACAAGACCATGGTGGGGACAGAGGAGGTGCTGAGGTGTGGATAGGTTCTATATCCTCCCTAGTCTCTGTCTCCAGTCTTGTCCCCTCTTGATGTAGCCATTGGGTCTTTCTAAAGCACATCTGATCCTGTCCCTCCTGTAAAACCATTCATGGCTACCAGGGTCGATGGGACACAGTGAGGCTCCTCAGCCTGATGTTGGACTGCAGAGGTGGCCTCTGTCAGCCTCATTTGCCTCAACTTGCATCTCTCCCCACCTCTCAGGCCACTGCAGCCACGCCGAAGTTCTTTCTATTTCTCTGGGTCTTTGTTCATTCTGTTCCTTCTGCCAGGAACACTGTTCCTTCCCTCTCTTCCTTGCCAACCTCCTCCCCCTCCTTCAAGAAGCATTGTGTGTTCCAAACTCCTTGAAAGGCTTGCAAGATCCTACAGGATTTGGTCCCATCTCGACCTCTCTGGGGATGTGAATGTCTTCCTAGTCCTGCTCTCTGTGCTTTATGCCCATTTCCCATCCCAGCCTCTGGCAGTTCCAGAGTAGCTATGGGGAAAATGCTCTGGAGGCAGAACCAAAATGATTTCCTGATGAATGAATATGGAATTTGAGAGAGAGGAGTCCAGGGTGAGTTCTTTGGGCAGCATTCTTTTTTCCTTCCAGGCCTTTCCATCTGCTATGTCTTGGCTGGGTGCGCCTGTCCTTCTGCCTCCTTTCTTACACCAACTCCCACTCATCCTCTGATCTCTGCTAACATGACTCCTCCTGCCAGAACCTTTATCCCAGACAGGGTCACTCCCTCTAGCTGGTGGTCTCACAACTTATTATTTGTACAGCATTTGTCTTCTCCATCTGAGAAGGAAAGGAGGTGACAGATCACAGACTCCAGAGCCAGGCTGCCTGCATTTAAACTCCTACTCTGTCATTTCATAGTTAGGTGACTCTGGGCAGATTATTTAACCTTTCTGGGCCTTGGTTTCCTCAGTAACAGTACCTGCCTGCCTCATGTGGGTGTTCAGAAGATAAGAAGTTAATTCATGTAAAGTACTTAGAACAGGGACTGACTAGACTCATAAACAAGGGCTGTTTATTTTTAATTTTTATCCATTTAAAGACTCTGGCTGTGCAGAAATGGCTGGGTGTGTACTGTTCACCCCAGAGCTTAGCACAGGGTCTGTTTCAGGGTTTGCTGTCAGGGAATCAAATATAAAAAGCTGATGCTTTTTCAAACTTTGTTGATTCCAATCTGCAGGAGGAAATATATGTTGATCTTATATAGTCACACACATATAAAACGAAAACACGTGTTTTCCTAGCACTAATATTCTTTCTGTAAAAAATGGAGGTGATAGTCACATAAGATATATCTAGCCATTTTAAAGTGTGTCATTCAGTGGCATTTAGTACTTTCACAAGATTGTGCACCACCTCTGTCTAGTTCCAAAACATTTCATTGCCTTAAAAAGAAAGCCCATACCCATTTAGCTGTCACTCATTCCCCAGTCACCTGCATTGTATCTTCATCGACCAGTATTATTACATATGACACACTCTAATATTTTCTATGTATTCCACTTTATTCTCTTTCAATAAAAGATAGATCAAGGCCCACCAAACTGATTTCCTACCCCATTAATTCAGCGCTGCACCTTGGAATCACCTGGAGAGCTTTAAAAGCTACTGATACCTGGGCCTCAATCCAGAGATTCTGAAGTGATTTCAGGATTCCTGGAAGTTCCCAGGCAGTGCTATCTGCAGCAAAGCAAGAACCACTGACTGAATGTATCTCCTCAGTTTGGAAAACCCTGGAATGAGACCTAGAGCCAGGGTGATCCAGGACTGTAGAAGGACACAGAGATACAGAGGTAGGGATATGAAATTTAGACACTGAGCTACCTCTCTACAGACTCAAGGAGACAGCTCTCTGAGGCAAACAGGGAGAAACCCTCAGACTGCCACAAATTATGTGCAGATGAGAAATAGAAAGTCATACAGACAATGTAGAAACTCTGGGAGGAAGAGAAAGGTATGGAAAGACAGACACAGATAGGAGGGCAGAAAGATACCCAGTAATGAGACAGACACACCAGCTGGACAGAGCCAGGATCCTTCCAGTTCACCTCATGCTTTTCTTTCAGCTCACCTGTTCTACAGGACCAGCCCTGTCCTTCTGGCTGGGGCCCAGACCCAGGCCTCCAGAGGCCGAGTCCCTCACCTGCCCTGGCCTCAGAGAAGCTGCCCTGACACCTGCTCCCCTTCCCTGGCCTGATGTGGCCTGGTTGAGGGGCAAGACTGAGCCACGGGGGAAGGGGGAATCTGTACCTGCTGCTGCTTCCTCTGTCTTGGCTACCCCCGTCCCTCTTGAACCTCTAACCATTCTCAAAGAGTTCCCAAAGCCTGAGACCAGGGCCATTTGGCCCCAGCTCCCCTAACCCTGCCATTGCGAGTACGAGTTATTTATTACCTGAAGGCCTACCCCCACCCCCTCACCCCCATAAAGCACTATTTATACCTGTGTCTTGGCCTCCATCATTTTGGGGTGGAAGGGAGGGATGGGAGGCAGAAGAGGTATCTGATGGAAGAATCAAGTGTCATGATGTTTGGGACCATGTTTCTGGGTCAGACATGATGTGCGGATACACCGTGACTCAGGTGCCTGTTATAGAGGGTATCTCACTGTGTGCACATGTTATGACAGTGTGCCCTGGAGGCCCACATCTGTAACACTAATATCCCTGTTTGTGCCATAATTGATGGTATCTGTAGGAATGTGTGCTGCTTATGTGTGACACTGTGACAACTCTGTGTACTCAGTGTGATTGTATTCATGAGGCTGGTGTTGTTTGGGACACCAAACAACGTAAGAACTCAGGCCTGTGGGTGATACCTATACATGTCTGATGCCTGAAAGCCTGAGGAAGTGTCTGACTTGCATGTGTGCCTCTGAGGTCTCTGTGTTTTGATGTGAATTTGGCTCCTTTGATACACCTGTGTTTTACCGTGAACCGTTTCTGTGTTGTCTCTGAGCACTGTGTGTGGGCCTTTGTGCAACCCGGACTCACGTGCATACTGGAGTCCAGTATGTTGTCCTGTGTCCAGGTGAACCGAGGACGCCGCACGCCCTGCCATTCCCAACTGGTCCAGCACCCTCAAGTCAGCTTTCACCCAACCCAGGAAGGCCCGAGGCTCTGCTCGGCCTAGGTGAGGCGGGGGGCGGGGCATTTAAATAACCTCATCTACACAATTCTCCCAGGCGCTGTCGCCCAAAATGTTCTTAAAAGACACAAGGCTGTCATGCAGATTTCTTCTCTGCATACCTTTCCTAGGTTGCTTTATTCTGACTCCCACAATTGTCCCGAGGGTACAGGGTGGAGGGGTCCGAGCTTCCTCCTCTCAAGGACCAACTGCACTTCTTCCCTCCGTTATATAAAAGCCTAATTTCCCGACTACTTGAGCCGACATTTCTCAGTGTCTTATCCTTAGTCTTGGGCTGTGAGAAGGCGGGCTGTCCATGTAAATGACATCGGTGATTTGCATGCCACCTCCCGACCGAGCTACTCATTCCGCAGCGCTCTGGGTGCTGAGGGGATGGGCAGGTCCATGTAAATAGCATTATTTGCATACCCCTCCCGCATATCTGCATAATGTTCTCTGATACCCTCCTTCCCCAATTCAGCCCCTCCTAATTGCGTTCCTCCTCTCCGCACATGGTCGGAGCGCAGAATGCAAGTGAGCCTCGCGTCCGCAGGCCCACCCCCCGTTTTCGAGTGGGGCTGCTCTGAACGTCCTCGCCCCGCCCAGCGCGGCTCGCGCCTGCGCACCGTCTCCTCCGTCCGGGCGCGGTCACGTACCCACCGGGAAAGGCGGGGGCGGGGCGTCGCGGGC